ATGTCCCCAATGTCCCCATTCCCCTCCTTGTCCCCAGTGTCCCCAATATCCCCATCCCCCTCCCTGTCCCCAATGTCCCCAATGTCCTCCTTGTCCCCTGATGTCCCTGGTGTCCCCATCCTTCTTCTTGATGTCCCTCTCTCCAATTTCCTTCCCTGTCCCCAGTGTCCCCATCCTTTCCCCTGTAGTCCCTGTCCCCAGTATCCCATTTCCCTTCCCTGTCCCCAATGTCCCCAGTGTCCTCCCTGTCCCCAGTGTCCCCATCCTTGTCCCTGATGTCCCTGTCCCCAACATCCCCAATTCCCCTCCCTGTCCCCAAAGCCCTCCCTGTCCCCAGTGTCCCCATCCTTCTTCCCGATGTCCCTCCACCCACCCATCACCAGCAGAGTCCCCCCCACCCCAGCAGCCCACCCCAAACATCCCTCCCCAAGCCAGGACGGCTCTGGGAGGCCGAGCAGGCCCGGGGTTTCATGTGTCCCCTCCTCCCTTACCAGCATCTCGTCGTGGATGACGGGACCATCCTCCTGGAAGACCCCGTCCGGCTTCTGCTGGTTGAGGATGAGCCACTTGATGGCCCCGCAGACGACCTCGTGCTCGATGCTGATCAGTTTGCTGGCCATGGCGAACACTTTGGCCACGTAGGCCGTCAGCCTGGGGGACAGGGGGGCGCGGGTGTCACCCTCCGGCCGTGTCACCCAGACCCAGGGGTGGGGGGAAGGTGGTGGTGACCCCCCCCGACCCTCACCAGGTGCTCGACTTGCGGTTGAGGAAGGCGGCGAAGGAGTTGTCGGGTTTCCTGTAGGCCAATTGTTGGACGTAACCTGGGGGTGGGAGGGCGGGTGGTCAACACCAGGAGGGGCCAGGGGGTGGGGGTGGGGGGGTCAGGCCACCCAAGCCCTCCAAGGAACAGCCAAGGGTGGCTTCGAGGCCACCAACACCTTCCAGTCGGTCACTGGCCATCACAGGGGTCACCTGGGAGTGGCTTCGGGCCACCGACACTCCGCAAGTGTTGGCCAACACAAGGGGCACCCAGGGGTGGCTTCAAGGCCACCAACGCCCTCCAATTGTTGCCCATCACAATGAACACCCAGGGGTGGTTTCGGGCCACCAACGTCTTCCATCCAAGTGTTGGCCAACACAAGGGGCACCCAAGGGTGGCCTCGGGCCGCCGATGCCCTCCAATCATTGGCCAACACAAGGAGTATCCAGGGGTGGTTTAGGGCCACCAACACCCTCCAACCACTGGCCAAGACAAGGTGCATCTGTGTGTGGTTTTAGGCCACCAGCACTCTTAAAACCATTGGCCAACACAAGGGATGTCCAGAGGTGGCTCCAGGCCACCCTCCAAAGGTTGGCCAGCACAAGGAGCAGCCAAGGAGGCCACCAGTGCCCTCCAGCTGCTGGCCAACACAAGGACAGCCCAGGAGTGGCTTTGGGCCACCAGTGCTCTCAAACCATTGGCCAGGACAAGGAACACCAAGGGGTTGTTTTTAGGCCCCTCCCCAGTTGTTGGCCAACACCAGGAACTTCCACGCACCCCTCTGGGGGATGTTCTGATCCTTTTGGGGATGTTCTGATCCTTTAGGGGAAGTTCCCACCCAGCCTCTGAGAATGTTCCCACTCACCCTTAGGGGATGCTCCCACCCCTTTGGGGATCTTCTCACCCACCCTTTTGAGGATGTTCTCATCCCTTGGAGAGTATTCCCACCGTTTTTTGGGGACGTTCCCACCTACCTCTTTGGGGATGCTCCCGTCCTAGGGGAATACTTTCACCCTCTGGGGCTTGTTGCCACCCCTTGGGGGATAAATCCCACACACCCTTTGGGGACATTCCCACCCACCCTTGGAGGAGGTTCCCACCCTTGGAGGAGGTTCCCACCCTTAGGGGATGTCCCCACCCCCTCGGGGGGGATGTCCCCACCCTTTTTGATGATCTCGATGGCCTCGGTCCTGCGGTCGAGCCCCAGGTTCTCCCACTGCAGGGTGTTGTCCAGGTAGTGGACGGCGATGACCGTGGGGGTCAGGGAGATCATGTTCTGCTCCCCACAGCCCGAGGGGACCACGATCAGGTGCTTCAGCTTGCTGCCGTCGATGGCCTTCTCCACCAGGACGGACACGGGGTTCCCTGCGGCCACGAGGAGGGGGCCGGTCAAGCCGGAGGTGTCCCCCACCCCCAACCCCGCAGGTGGTCCCCGGGGGTGCCCCCAGGCCCAAAGCTCACCCTGGATGCTGACTTTGGTCTCCGACTCGGTGTTGGGGACGATGTCGGAGAGATCCGCCGCCTTCACCTTCTCCTCCTGCACCCCCTCTGTGGGGCAGGAGGGGGTCAGCTCGGGGGGAGGGGGGGTGACCCCAAATCCTTCTTGTCCCCAAAGCCCTGAGGTGACCCAGCCCTGCCCCAGGATGTCCCTGGACCCTCAAAGACCTTCCAGAGCCACGCCAGGATGTTCCCTTCTCCCTCAGGATGCCCCAATTCCATGGTGGGGTGTCCCTTGGCTCCCAAGACATCTCAGACCCAAAGCAGGACACCCCTCATTCCCTGGGATGCCCCAATTCCATGGTGGGGTGCCCCTTGGCCCCCAGGGATGCCCCAGACCCACAGTGGGTCTTCTCTTGTCCCCTGAGATGTCCCAGATCCACACTGGGGTTTCTCTGGTCCCTCAAGACACCCCAGACCCTCAGTGGGACTTCCCTCTTCCCTCAAGATGTCCCAGACTCACACTGGGGTTTCCCTTGACCCCAAGACACCCCAGACCCACAGTGGGACTTCCCTTGTCCCCCAGGATGCCCCAAACCTGCCCTTGGGGGCACATTCTCCATCCCCCTGAGGTCCTGCCCTCGGTGGGACCCCCCCATGGGGCCAGGTCCACCCCCGGTCACTCACTGACTCCCTTGTGCTGTGGGTCCAGCTCGATGATCTTCACCGTCTTCTCCAGCCTCATCCCCTCGGGCTGCCCAGGGAAGAGTCCAACCATAAACGGGGTTGGTTTTGGGGTCCCCCCTTCCCAAATTCTCCACTTTGTCCAGGACAGGCGTCCCAGTACAAGCCAGCGTCCCCCAGGGCATGTGACACACCGGTTTAGGGCATGTCCCCTGTCCCCCAAGGTGCCTCAGGGACTTCCCAAGGTTTAGGGGGTCACTCGAATCCCATGAAGTCCGCTCCAAATCCCGAGGAGTCCTCCCAAGCTTTAGAAGAAGACCCCTCAAGTCCCAAGGAGTCCTCTAAAGGTTTAGAAGACCCCTCAAGTCCCAAGGAATCCTCACTGGGTTTAGGGCATCCCCCAAGCCCCAAGGAATCCTCACTGGGTTTAGAAGACCCCACAAGTCCCAAGGAGTCCTCCCAAGGTTTATGGGATTCCTTGAGTCCCAACAAGTCCTTCCAAGGTTTAGGGGATTCCTTGAATCTTTTGGAGTCTTCCCAAGGTTTAGGGGATCCCTCAAGCCCCAAGCAATCCTCCCTGGGTTTAGGGGATCCCTCAAGCCCCAAGGAATCCTCACTGGGTTTAGGGGATCCCTCAAGCCCCAAGGAATCCTCACTGGGTTTAGGGGATCCCCCAAGCCCCAAGCAATCCTCCCAAGGTTTAGGGGATCCCTCAAGCCCCAAGGAGTCCTCCCAAGGTTTATGGGATTCCTTGAGTCCCAACAAGTCCTTCCAAGGTTTAGGGGACTCCTTGAATCTTTTGGAGTCTTCCCAAGGTTTAGGGGATCCCTCAAGCCTCAAGCAATCCTCCCTGGCTTTAGGGGATCCCTCAAGCCCCAAGCAATCCTCACTGGGTTTAGGGGATCCCTCAAGTCCCAAGGAATCCTCACTGGGTTTAGGGGTTCCCTCAAGCCCCAAGCAATCCTCCATGGGTTTAGGGTATCCCTCAAGCCCCAAGGAATCCTCACTGGGTTTAGGGGATCCCCCAAGCCCCAGGGAACCCTCACTGGCTTTAGGGGATCCCCCAAGCCCCAAGGAATCCTCACTGGCTTTAGGGGATCCCTCAAGCCCCAAGCAATCCTCACTGGGTTTAGGGAATCCCTCAAGCCCCAAGGAATCCTCACTGGGTTTAGGGAATCCCCCAAGCCCCAAGGAATCCTCACTGGGTTTAGAAGACCCCACAAGTCCCAAGGAGTCCTCCCAAGGTTTATGGGATTCCTTGAGTCCCAACAAGTCCTTCCAAGGTTTAGGGGATTCCTTGAATCTTTTGGAGTCTTCCCAAGGTTTAGGGGATCCCTCAAGCCTCAAGCAATCCTCCCTGGCTTTAGGGGATCCCTCAAGCCCCAAGCAATCCTCCCTGGGTTTAGGGGATCCCTCAAGTCCCAAGGAATCCTCACTGGGTTTAGGGGTTCCCTCAAGCCCCAAGCAATCCTCCATGGGTTTAGGGTATCCCTCAAGCCCCAAGGAATCCTCACTGGGTTTAGGGGATCCCCCAAGCCCCAGGGAACCCTCACTGGCTTTAGGGGATCCCCCAAGCCCCAAGCAATCCTCACTGGCTTTAGGGGATCCCTCAAGCCCCAAGCAATCCTCACTGGGTTTAGGGAATCCCTCAAGCCCCAAGGAATCCTCACTGGGTTTAGAAGACCCCACAAGTCCCAAGGAGTCTTCCCAAGGTTTATGGGATTCCTTGAGTCCCAACAAGTCCTTCCAAGGTTTAGGGGATTCCTTGAATCTTTTGGAGTCTTCCCAAGGTTTAGGGGATCACTCAAGTCCCATGAAGTCCACTCCAAATCCCGAGGAATCCTCCCAAGGTTTAGGGGATCCCTCAAGCCCCAAAGAATCCTCCCTGGCTTTAGGGGATCCCTCAAGCCCCAAGGAATCCTCCCAGGCTTTAAGGGATCCCCCAAGCCCCAAAGAATCCTCCCTGGGTTTAGGGGATCCCTCAAGTCCCAAGCAATCCTCACTGGGTTTAGGGGATCCCTCAAGCCCCAAGGAATCCCACCAAGGTTTAGGACCGCCCTGGGAGGATGATCCTCCACCCCTGGCCGCCAACCCCAGGACAAAGGGCGGCCACGGCGACGTCCCCGTGCCAGGGCACACCCGAGGGACAGGGGAGGTGACAGCGAGGGCCACTCACCACCACCCTGAGCTTCTTCTTGACTCCGTCGGACACGTACTTGTCCCTGACGGCCGCCTTGACCTCGACGTCGTGCAGCCCCAGCTCCAGGGGCACCAGCACGAAGGACACGGTGCGGGAGGACTCGGCCTTGATGCGCAGGATCTGCTGGAAGCGCTTCTTGGACGTGGAGGGGCCGCACAGGGCGGGGTTGTGCACCAGCTCCACCCGCACCTGGGGGGCACAGGGGGGGAAGGCGCAGAGTCAGGAGATGCCCGGAGAGGGAAGGGACCCCCCCCCAAAAGGATCATCCGGTCCAATCACCCCCCCCACCAAGGATGCACCAAAATCATGCCAAGTGCTTGAAAGGGTTGTCCGGACGTTCCCCGAGCTCTAAAAGGGAATCGTGGGATATCCAGAGCTGGAAGGGACCCCCCCCAAGGATCATCCAGTCCAGTCCCCTGCTCAGGACACCCCAAAATGCCACCAAGGGCATGGGAGCATTGTCCAAACATTCCCTGAGCTCTAAAATCGTGGGATATCCCCAGCTGGAAGGGACCCCCCAAGGATCATCCAGTCCAGTCCCCCGCCCAGGACGCCCCAAAATACCACCAAGTTCCAGAGATCGTTGCTCAAATGTTCCCTGAGCTCTAAAATCGTGGGATATCCTCAGCTGGAAAGGCCCAGTGAGGATCATCCAGTCCAACCCCACCTAGGATGCCCCAAAATGCCACCAAGGGCATGGGAGCATTGTCCAAACATTCCCTGAGCTCTCAAATCGTGGGATATCCCCATTTGGAAGGGACCCCCCAAAGATCATCCAGTCCAATCCCTGCCCAGGGCACCCCAAAATCCCTGAGGGCGTTGTCCAAACATTCCTGGAGCTCAGACAGCCTCGGTGTTGTCGTGCCCAAACGCTGGGGAGCCTGTTCAGTGCCCGACCACCCTCTGGGGGAAGAACCTTCCCCTGAGATCCGACCTGACCCGGCCCTGGCACAGCTCCAGGGCCCTGTCCCTGGTCCTGCCCCTCAGGGTCCTTTCCCATCCTCGTGGCCTCCTTTGGACGCTCTCTCAGAGCTTCTCCAGAGGATCCAGGAGGCCACAGACCCCCTGAACCTCAAAGCCCCCCCCAGGGTGGGTCCCAACTCACGGTGATCTCCTCCAGGTTGTAGTTGTAGAGGATGGCCCGGATCTCCACCTGCTCGTTCCTCACCACCGAGTAGGGCAGGCGCAGGTCGATGAAGAAGTCCTTCATCACCGTGATCTCGTAGGGGTCGGCCACGCACAGCCCTGCGGGGGATGTGGAGGGTCAGGACTGGGGGGGTTCTGGTCGGATCGTGCCCCCAGGGACGGCCCCGAGGCCTTCAGAGAGCCCTCAGAGCCCAGGGAGCCCCCTCCAGGTTTCGGGGGTGTCTCGGATCTCTTGGAGTTCTTCCAAGGCTTAGGAGATCCTTCAAAACCCAGGGAATTCTCCCAAGGTTTGGGAGATCCCTCAAAGCCTGGGGAGTCCTCTCAAGGTTTAGGGGATCCTTCAAAACCCAGAGAGTTCTCCCAAGGAGATTCCTCCAAGTCCACGGAGTCCCCCCCAGTGCTTAGAAGGTCCCACCAGTCCCAAGGAGTCCTCCCAAGGTCTGGGACATCCCTTTAAGACCCAAGGAGTCCTCACAAGGGTAAGGGATCCACCAAGTCCCACAGAGCCCTCCCAAGGCTTAGGAGATCCCCCAGGTCCTATCCCCTCCACCAAAGTTCAGGAGATGTCCCTCAAGACCCACGGAGTCCTCCCAAGGTTTAGGGGACCCCTCAAGTCCCAGGGACGCCCCTCAAGCTTGGTGGGATCTCCCCGCTAAGATTTTTGGGGATCCCTCAAAGTGCCAAGGAAACCCTCCGGGATTTAGGGGACCCTTCAGGTCCCAGGGACCCCTCCCAAGGTTTGGGGGGGCTCCTTTGGCCCCCAGGGGCACCCCCCCGCTCTGTGACATACCCTTGTCGGGCGAGAGGCTGACGGCCAGGACCTCCCAGGTGGTGATGGAGTCCTTCAGGTACACGGGCACGGTCTTGGCTGACACCCTGGAGAGGGGGGAGGGTCACCAAGGGGGTCCCAGCCCACCCCAACCCCACCCCAAGGGGATGTCACCACCCCCCAGGGTGGAGTTGGAGGGGAAGGGGGTGGTCACAGCTGGTCCCCAGGACAGACCAGCAGGTTTGGGATGAGCCCTGGGCGGACCAAGGTGGTCTTGAGGCAGCACCAGGGGGTCAGGGGTGGATTTGTGGGGGGGGGAGGGAGGGTCAGGGAGGGGGAAGTGACCCCCAGGGTGAGCTCTGGGGGGTGGAGGGGACAGGGGGACAGGGGCAGGGCTCACCCCAGCCCGTCAGGCTTCTCTGTCAGGTGCTCCAGCTGCCACAGCCAACTCTCCGGGAAGTGGCTCCGCGTGATGATCTCGTCGTCACTCATGAACACGACGTCCTTCTCGCCTGGGGGTGGGGGCATCCCTCTCGACCGTGGCCTCATGGGCCCAACCCCTGAGCGGAGCTGATATCACCCCAGCTCGGGCCAGGCAACCCCCAGCGCTGCCCACCCCAAATGAACCCCAAATTCACCCCAAATGAACCCCAAATTCACCCCAAATGAACCCAACACTCCACCCAAATTCACCCAAAACTCACCCCAAATTCATCCAACATTCACCCCACATTCACCCAACATTCACCCCAAATTCACCCAACATTCACCCAACATTCACCCCAAATTCACCAAAATTCAGCCAACATTCACCCAACATTCACCCCAAATTAACCCAACATTCACCCAACATTCACCCAAAATTCACCAAAATTCAGCCAACATTCACCCAACATTCAAGGCTTTGCCCAAGGACAGCACAAGGAACTCCCAACCTTCCCCCAGGGAACACCCAAGGAACTCCCAAACTTTACCCAAACTTTACTGATGTTCACTCAACCTTCCCCCAAGGAGCACCCAAGGAACTCCCAACCTTCCCAAAGGGAACACCCAAGGAACTCCCAACCTTTCCCCAGGGAACTCTTGAGAATCTCCCAACCTTCCCCCAAGAAACACCGAAGAGATTCTCAACCTTCCCCCAAGGAACATTCAGGACTCCCAACCTTCCCCCAGGGAACACCCAAGAATCTCCCAACCTTCCCCCAAGGAACACCCAAGAGATTCCCAACCTTTCCCTAAGGAGTACCCAAGAATCCCAACCTTCTCCCAAGGAAAATCCAAGAATCTCCCAAACTTCCCCCAAGGAACCCCTGAGGTTCACCTGACCTTCCCCCAAGCTTTTCTTCAGGATCACAAAACCTTCCCACAAGGAACACCCAAGGAACTCCCAACCTTCCCCCAGGGAACTTCCAAGAATCTCCCAACCTTCCCCCAAGGAACACCCAGGACTCCCAACCTTTCCCCAAGGAACAGCCAAGAATCCCAACCTTCCCCAAGGAACACCCAAGGAACTCCCAACCTTCCCAAAGGGAACACCCAAGAGATTCCCAACCTTCATCCAAACTTCACCAGATATTCACCCAACCTCCCCCCAAGGAACACCCAAGGAACTCCCAACCTTTCCCCAAGGAACACCCAAGAATCCCAACCTTCCCCCAAGGAACACACAAGGAACTCCCAACCTTCCCCCAAGGAACCCCTGAGGTTCACCTGACCTTCCCCCAAGCTTTTCTTCAGGATCACTCAACCTTCCCCAAGGAGTACCCAAGGAACTCCCAACCTTCCCCCAGGGAACACCCAGGAATTCCCGAGGCTGCCCCGCTCCCACCTCTCCCGCCCTCCCCGCCCGTCCCAGCACTTGCTTCGTGCCAGCTGGAACGTGGTCTGCTGGCGCCGCTTCTCCCTGCGGATGTCCTCGATGTACTTGCAGCAGTCGAGGAAGGCCCGGACGCAGGACTCGCCCTCCTGGATGTAGGAGCTCCTCTGCTCGCAGCTGTGATCCATCGGGATGTCCCGCATCCCGTCCTCGCAGCACCTCCGCAGCTGCTTGTCCTGGTACTCGGATGCTGCCGGCACCGCCACACCCGCTGGCACCCGGTGAGGGGACACCCGGGGGGCCCTCGGGGACATGGGGACACTCTGGAGCTCCTCAGGGATGTGGGGCACTCTGGGGCTCCTCAGGGACATGGGACACTCTGGGGCTCCTCAGCGATGTGGGGCACTCTGGGGCTCCTCAGGGATGTGGGGCACTCTGGGGCTCCTCAGGGATGTGGGACACTCTGGTGTCACTCAGGGATGTGGGACACTCTGGGGTTCCTCAGGGATGTGGGACACATTGAGGTTCCTCAGGGACATGGGGACACTCTGGGGCTCCTCAGGGATGGGGACACTCTGGGATTCTCAGGGATGGGGACACTCTGGTGTCATCAGGGACACGGGACACTCTGGGACTCTCAGGGATGTGGGACACTCTGGGGTTCCTCAGGGATGTGGGGCACTCTGGTGTCATCAGGGACATGGGACACTCTGGTGTCCCCCAGGGACATGGGGCACTCTGGGGTTCCTCAGGGACGTGGGACATGTTGGGGTCCCTCAGGGATGTGGGACACTCTGGGATTCTCAGGGATGTGGGGCACGTTGGGGTCGCTCAGGGACAAGGGACACTCTGGTGTGCCTTGGGGACGCTGTGGTGTCACCAGGGACACGCCCCTGCCACCCACCCTTGGTGCCTTTGTACTCCACGAGCTGCAGCGAGCGGCGCCTGCGCTTGGCCTCCTGGGGACACTGCACCTCTGGGGACACAGGGGACACAGGGGACACGGCTCAGGACCCTGCAGGGTCCCAGCCCCGCAGCCCGACATCCCCTTGGCCTCAGCTGTCACATCCCAAAGCTCAAGGTCACCTCCCCCATCCCTGAGGTGTCACTTCCCCCCGTCCTGGAGGTGTCACATCCCTGAAGTGCCACCTCCCCCATTCCCGAAGTGTCACCTTCCCCATTCCCGAGGTGCCACATCCCTCAAGCGTTATCACCCTGATGTGTCACCTCCCCCATCCCCAAGGTGTCACCTCCCCCATTCCTGAGGTGTCACCTCCCAAATTCCCAAAGTGGCACATCCCTGAAGTGTCACCCCTGCAGTGTGTCACCCCCGCCCTCTGTGACACCTTCCCCACCCTTGAGGTGTCCCATCCTCCATCCCTCAAGTGTCACCTCCCCGGCCCTCAAGGTGTTCCCGAGGTGTCACCTCCCTCCCACCCGAGGTGTCACCTCCCATGTCCCTGAGGTTTCACATCCCCGAGGTGCCACCTCCCTTGTCCCCAAGGTGTCCCCTGCCGTGTCCCTGAGGTGTCCCCCGGGCTGTCCCCTCCTGCCCCGTCCTACCCGACCGCTGTGGGGTCGTGATCTTCACGCTGGTGGTCAAGCTCAGCCCGGCGTCGGCGAAGACCCCCACGTTGTCCCTCCCGCTGCCCGCGGTGCAGCCGATGTCACTCTTCTCCACCGTGTCCCAAACCTGCCACCACCGCCAGGGGACACCTGTGAGGGCCACGGCCACCTCCCGGGGACAGCGGGGATGGCCACGGCCACCAACAGGGGACAGCAGGGACAGCCACTGCCACCCCCTGGGGACAGCTGGGAAAGCCACTGCCAGCCCCTGGGGACAGGGAGACGGTCACTGCCACCACCAGGGGACAGTGGGGATGGCCACTGCCACCAAGAGGGGACACTCATGCTGGCCAGTGCCACCCCCACCAGGGGACATTTGTGATGGTCACTGCCACCACCAGGGGACAGTGGGGATGGTCACTGCCACCAAGAGGGGACACTCATGCTGGCCAGTGCCACCCCCACCAGGGGACATTTGTGATGGTCACTGCCACCACCAGGGGACAGTGGGGATGGCCACTGCCACCAAGAGGGGACACTCATGATGGCCAGTGCCACCATCACCAAGGGACACCTGTGATGGTCACTGCCACCACCACCAGGGGACATTTGTGATGGTCACTGCCATCCCCTGGGGACATCTGGGACAGCCACTGCCACCCCCTGGGGACATCTGGGACAGCCAATGCCACCCCTTGGGGACGGGGGGACGGCCACTGCCACCACCAGGAGACAGCGGGGACGGCGGGGACGGGGCCCCCCAGGCACCCACCCTGGTCTGGGTGAGCTTGTTCTTCTTGTTGAGGACGAAGACCCCCTTGTCCACGGCCACCAGCCCCACGTGGGCCTTGTAGTCGCCCTCGATGCGCAGCCTCATGGGGCTCCCTGGCCGGTGCACCTGACTGTCGGCCTCCGACGCCCCCTTCACCACCAGCTGCGGGGCACACGGGGTCACCTCCGGGTCACGGCCCCAAAAACCCTCCCTGAGACCCCCGGAACCCGACCCATGGGGAACCCCGACGCCAGGGAACCTCAAAAACCCTTCCTGAGACCCCCAGAACCTGATCCATGGGGAATCCCAACCCCAGGGGACCTCAAAAATCCTCCCTGAGACCCCCAGAACCCGACCCATGGGGAACCCCCACCCCAGGGAACCCCAAAAACCCTTCCTGAGACCCCCAGAACCTGATCCATGGGGAATCCCAACCCCAGGGAACCCCAAAAACCCTTCCTGAGACCCCCAGAACCCGACCTGTGGAGAACCCCCAACCCATGGGACCCCAAAAACCCTCTCTGAGACCCCCAGAACCTGATCCATGGGGAATCCCAACCCCAGGGGACAACAAAAACCCTCCCTGAGACCCCCAGAACCCAACCCGTGGGGAACCCCGACCCCAGGGGACTCCAAAACCCTCCCTGAGACCCTCAGAACTTGACCCGTGGGGAACCCTGACGCCAGGGGTGCTGGAGACCCCAAAAAACCTTCCCCCAAAACCTAAGCCCTTACAAAGACCTCCCTCAAGTCCCTCAAGGTCACCCCAAGCCCCCCCCCCAAGTCCTACAAAGGCCCCTCAAGTCCTTCAAGTGTCCCCAAGTCTCTCAAGGACCACCCCAAGCCCTTCCAAAGGCCCCACCAAGCCCCTTAAGGGCCCCCCCCAAAAACCTTTCCAAAGGCTTCCCACCCAAACCACCCCCCGCCCCACCAAAGACCACCCAACTCCCTCAAGGGTCACCCAAGTCCCTCAAGGGCCACCCCAAGGCCCCCAGGTCCCCTCCCCACCCCCGTGGGGCCGGGGGGGGACACTCACGGTGCCCATGCAGGTGTCCTTGACGTCCACCCAAATGGAGTCGGCCACGATCTCCCCGGGCAGGACGTGGTAATAGCCCACGATGCGGAAGGAGGGCAGCAGGTCGGCCGTCACCCTCAGGGTCATGGTGACCAGGCTCTGCCCGGCCTCGTAGGGCTGCCGCCCGGCGCGGACGATGTGGCCCCTGCTCATGATCTGGCACGGGCGAGGAAGGGCGCGTTGGTGGCGGCCACGCCGGGCAGCGAGGGACCAGCGGGGCCCCCTCAACACACCCCCGGCCGCCACGGGTGTCCAGGACATCCCCGGCTCCCCCCCCGTGTCCTGCTGTGCTGGCCCTTGGTGACCACTCCTGGGCACGGTCATCAGTCACCCTGGGCGCGGTCATTGGTCAGCTTGGCCATGGTTGTTGGTTACCATGGTCACTGGTCACCCTGGCCATGGTCACTGGTCACCCTGGACACAGCCATTAGTCACCCTGGTCCTGGTCATTGGTCACCTTGGACGTGGTCATTGGTCACCCTGGTTATGGTCATTGGTCACCCTGGATGAGGGCACTGGTCACCCTGGCCATGGTCATTGGTCACCCTGGCCGTGGTCGTTGGTCACCCTGCACGTGGGCATTGGTTACCTTGGCCATGGTTGTTGGTCACCATGGTCATTGGTCACCTTGGTCATGGTCACTGGTCACCTTGGCTGTGGTCATTGGTCACCCTGGCCATGGTCATTGGTCACCCTGGTCATGGTCACTGGTCACCCTGGCCGTGGTCATTGGTCACCCTGGCTGTGGTCACTGGTCACCCTGGCTGTGGGCATTGGTCACCCTGCACGCAGGCATTGGTTACCTTGGCCATGGTTGTTGGTTACCATGGTCACTGGTCACCCTGGCCATGGTCACTGGTCACCCTGGACACAGCCATTGGTCACCCTGGCAGTGGTCATTGGTCACCTTGGTCATAAACATTGGTCACCTTGATCACGACCATTGCTCACCCTGCTCATGACCATTGGTCACCTTGGCCACGGTCATTGCTCACCCTGCTCATGACCATTGGTCACTTTGGTCGTGGTCATTGGTCACTCTGGACACCTCAACCAGCTCACCCCCCCCGAGCCAGGGCTGGCACCCACCAGGTAGGTGAAGTACTTGACGCTGTTGCGGACGGCATCGCTGTTGCTCTTGAGGTGGAAGCTGACGGGCACGCTCCCCCCGACCTTCAGCTCCGTGGCCTGCACGGCCATGTGCAGGAAGTTCCCGGAGCCGTCCTGGCTGCGGTAGGCCTGGGCCGTCATCTGCCGCGACGCCTGGCGCTTCTCGGGCAGGTCCTTCTGCGCTGTCCGCACCTGGGGGGGACAGGGGGGCGCCCCGTCAGTGGGGAGGGGGCTGCACGCAGCAGGGGGGAGCAGCACAGAGATCTTGGCCTCCGTGGAGGTCTTGGTCACCACAGAGGCCTCGGCTAACAGAGGGATCTGGGCCTCCATGGAGGTCTAGGCCACCCTAGGGGTCTTGGCCACTATAGAGGTCTGGGTTTCCATGGAGGTCTGGGTCACTTTTAGGCCAAAGTAGAGGTCTAGGCCACCACAAAGGTCTAGGCCACCACAAAGGTCTAGGTCACCATAGAGGTCTAGGCCAATGTACAGGTCTAGGCCACCACAAAGGTCTAGGTCTCCATGGAGGTCTTGGTCACCATAGAGGTCTTGGCCTTCATAAAGCTCTGGGCCACTTTTAAGCCAACACTGAGTCTAGGCCAGCATAGAGGTCTAGGCCTACAGAGAGGTCTGGGCCTCCATAAAGTTCTAGGTCACTTTTAGGCCAAAGTAGAGGTCTTGGTCACCGTAGAGGTCTTGGCTAACAGAGGGATCCAGGCCACCCTAGAAGTCTTGGCCACCATAGAGGTCTGGGCCTCCATAAAGCTCTGGGCTACTTTTAGGCCTAAGTAGAGGTCTAGGCCAGCATAGAGGTCTAGGCCACCAAAAAGGTGTAGGTCACCACAAAGGTGTAGGCCAAAGTACAGGTCTAGGCCACCACAAAGGTCTAGGCCACCATAGAGGTCTTGGCCTTCATAAAGCTCTGGGCAACTTTTAGGTTGAAGTAGAGGTCTAGGCCTACAGAGAGGTCTAGGTCACCACAAAGGTCTAGGCCACCATAGAGGTCTAGGCCACCTTGGAAGTCTGGGCCTCCATGGAGGTCTAGGCCACTTTTAGGCCAAAGTAGAGGTCTAGGCCAGCACAGAGGTCTAGGCCACCACAAAAGTGTAGGCCTCCATGGAGGTCTTGGCCTTCATAAAGCTCTGGGTCACTTTTAAACCAACATAGAGGTCTAGGCCTACAGAAAGCTCTGGGTCACCATAGAGGTCTAGGCCTCCAGAAAGCTCTGGGCCACCTTTAAGCCAAAACAGAGGTCTAGGCCAGCGTAGAGGTCTAGGCCTACAGAGAGGTCTAGGCCACCACAAAGGTCTAGGCCACCATGGAAGTCTAGGTAACCATAGAGGTCTGGGACTTCGTAAAGCCCTGGGCTACTTTTAGGTCAAAGTAGAGGTCTAGGCCACCATAGAGGTCTTGGTCTTCATAAAGCTCTGGACCACTTTTAAGCCAATATAGAGGTCTAGGTCAGCGTAGAGGTCTAGGCCACCATAAAGGTGTAGGCCAGTGTACAGGTCTAGGCCACCATAGAGGTCTAGGCCTCCATAAAGCTCTGGGTCACTTTTAGGCCAAAGTAGAGGTCTAGGCCACCACAAAGGTCTAGGCCACCTCTAGGTCACCTTGGAGGTCTAGGCCAGCACAGGGGTCTAGGCCAGCACAGGGGTCTAGGCCAAGGCAGAGGTCTAGGGCCACGTGCAGGTCTAGGCCACTGTAGAGGTCCCCACCCCACTGTCCCTGTCCCCCCTCACGGTGACGGGGACACCCCTGTCCCCACGCCCTCCCGGTGTCCCCACTCACGGTGATGGAGACGCTGTCCTGGTTGGTCGGCATGTTGACCACGAGCTGGGCGGTGCCGTCCTGTTGGGTGGACACCTCGCTCGGGTACTCGACGGTGCGGACGGTGACACGCGGGGCCGGAGACCCGTCCGGGTTGGTGACGTAGACCTGGGGGGGGACACGGGGCACGTCCCAGGGGCACGGGGCATGGGCAAGAGACACTGGGGAGGGGCACTGGCACTGGGAACACTGGGAAGGGGCACTGGGAACACTGGGAAGGGGCACTGGCAATGGGAACACTGGGAAGGGGCACTGGGAACACTGGGAAGGGGCACTGGGAACACTGAGAAGGGGCACTGGCACTGGGAACACTGGGAAGGGGCACTGGCACCACTGGGAAGGGGCACTGGCACCACTGGGAAGGGGCACTGGGAAAGGCCATTGGCACTGGTAACACTGGGAAGGAACACTGGGAACACTGGGAAGGAGCACTGGGAACCGTGGGAAGGGGCACTGGGAAGGAGTACTGGGAACACTGGCAAGGGGCACTGGGAACACTGGCAAGGGGCACTGGGAAGGGGCACTGGGAACACTGGCAAGGGGCACTGGCACTGGGAACACTGGGAAGGGGCACTGGGAACACTGGGAAGGGGCACTGGGAAGGGCCAGTGGCACTGGGAACACTGGGAAGGAGCACTGGGAAGGGGCACTGGGAACACTGGGAAGGGGCACTGGGAAGGAGCACTGGGAACACTGGGAAGGGGCACTGGGATCACTGGGAAGGGGCACTGGGACCACTGGGAAGGGGCCACCCCAGCGACACAGGGACAGCCGGGGGCCCCCAGACCCTCTCCAGGTGACACAGAGATGTGACACGGGGACAGAACTTTGGTCCCCAAGTCCATCCCCCCACCCCCCCCCAAAATCCCCCAGTCCCACCCAGTCCCCATCCCAGGGATCCCGAGGGCCCTGGGCCGATGCCACCGCTGTCCCCAGTGCCACCGCTGTCCCCAGTGCCACCACTGTCCCCCCTGCTGTCCCCAGGGGTCCTTACCCTGAGGTCGAAGGAAATGCCGGGTTTGAAGTACTTGGGGGTGTGCGTGAAGTGGATGGTGTAGGGGGACGTCACGATGTGGATGCCCTCGCGCTGGGCCTCCACCATGTCACTGCCTGGGGCACCCGGGGCACAGCCACGTCACTTGGGGACAGCCCTAGTGGCCCTTGGCTGGCCCCAGGTGTCCCCATCCTCGCTGTCCCCAACCCTCTGCGTGTCCCCGGGGCCGCGTCACCCGGGGACAGGACCCGCTCTCCCCTCTCGGGGACAGCCCTGGTGGCCCCAGACGTCCCTCCCCATCCTCCCCACACGTCCTCAGAGCCAGGTGTCACTGCTTTGTCCCCCTTCTTTGCCCCCCCTCGTCTCCCTCGCCAGCCAGGCGTGTTGAAGATTGTGATGGACATGCACGTCCCCGTTGTCCCCGTCCTCCCAAGTCCCACCCGTGTCCCCTGTGGTCCCGCTGTCTCTCCTCTGTCCCTGTCCCCTCACATCCCCCCTGTCCCCGTGTCCCCTCTGTCCCTGTGTCCCCCCATGTCCCCATATCCCCCTGTCTCCTCGTGTCCCCACAGACCTGACTCTGTGATGACGGTGACGGTCACGTAGAGGGTGTGTCCCACCAGCTCCTCCGAGTTGCGGAAGCGCTGCCGCAGCGAGTCCATGGTCAGCACGGCCTCGCCGTTCCCTTCGATCACCTGCGGGGTGGGGGGAGTGAGGGGACATCCAGGGAGACCCAGGGGACATCCAGGGAGACCCAGGGGACACCCAGGGGACACCCAGGGGACACCCAGGGACATCCAGGGGACACCCAGGGAGACCAGGGGACACTCAGAGACACCCAGGGGACACCCAGGGAGACCCAGGGGACACCCAGGGGACACCGAGGGAGACCCAGGGAGACCAGGGAGACCCAGGGGACACCCAAGGGACACCCAGGGGACAGGGGGTCCATGGCCAGCACAACCTGGCTGTCCCCATCAGTCACCTGCGGGGTGGGGGGAGTGAAGAGACACCCAGGGGACACCCAAGGAGACCCAGGGGACACCCAGGGGACACCCAGGGGACAGGGGTCCGTGGCCAGCACAACCTGGCTGTCCCCATCAGTCACCTGTGGGATGGGGGGAGTGAAGGGACACCCAGGGGACACCCAAGGAGACCCAGGGGACACCAGGGGACACCCAGGGGACACCCAGGGGACAGGGGTCCGTGGCCAGCACAACCTGGCTGTCCCCATCAGTCACCTGCGGGATGGGGGGAGTGAAGGGACACCCAGGGGACACCCAAGGAGACCCAGGGGACACCCAGGGGACACCCAGGGGACACCCAGGGGACACCCAGGGGACAGGGGGTTCATGGCCAGCACGGCCTCGCCATCCCCTTCGATCACCTGCGGGGTGGGGGGAGTGAGGGGACACCCAGGGGACACCCAGGGGACAGAGAGGGGATGGCCAGGGGGGACCAGGGTGGAGACAGGGACGGGAATGGGGACAGAGTTGGGGGTGGTGACCAGGATGGCAGAGCCCAGTAAGGGACAGGGATGGGAACGGAGATGGTCCAGCCTGGGGACAGGGACAGGAGTGAGAGGGCTCAGCAGGGGACAGGACTGGGGACACCCGTGGGGACAGACAGGGCCGAGGGGAGGGTCACCGGAATGCGCTTCAGGGACTCGGGGATGCTCCTCCTCTCGTTGTTCACCAGGACCCCAAAGAGGGCAAAGGCTGTTCCGTAGACGTGTTTCCCATACAGGTACCTGGGGACAGGCCACCGCTGCCACCACGTGTCCCCATCGCAGCCACAGAACCGGCACCCCGTGTCCCCACATCGCCACCGTACGGCGCTGTCACCCCATCATCCTGTGTCCCCATCCCGCTGTCCCTGTGTCCCCTGTCACCCCATTGTCCCGTGTCCCCATCCCGCTGTCCCTGTGTCCCCTGTCACCCCATTGTCCCGTGTCCCCATCCCGCTGTCCCTGTGTCCCCTGTCACCCCATCACATCCTGTCACCCCACAGGTCCCGCTGTCCCCGTCCCTGTGTCCCCTGTCACCCCATCACACCCTGTCACCCCACAGGTCCTGCTGTCCCTCCACATCCTCCCCGTCCCCATCACGCCCTGTCACCTCCATCCCCCCCACCCTGCGCCCTCCTCACCCTCCAACCCGTCCCCGTGCCACCCCCTCCTCCCTGGGGACAGCTGGAATGTCCCCCCACCCCGTCCCCTTGGAGGGAGGGGGGGTCTGACCCCCCGAGGGGGCACTTTTGGGGTGCCCGTCCCACCTGGCCGAGATGGTCACCCGGAAATCCTCCTGCCGGTCGATGTAGAGGAACTTCTCCTCCGGGGTCAGGACCACCTCAAAGCTGGGCAGAACTGCAGGGTGGGAGGGGGAGAGGGTGTCACCCGATGTCCCCAAACCCCCAGGTGCCTCCCCCGCCACCTCGGGTGTGTCCCCCCCCCCCCCCCCCCCTTACCGTACTCCTTGACCTCAAACTGGGTGCTGAAAACCTGCTCCGGCGAATCCTCGAACCTGGCCGTGATCGTCCACATGCCCAGGCTGGGGGAGGCAAGGGACGGGGTCAGGGGACAGTGCCAGGGGTCTGCGTGTCCCCAGGCCACCCCCCCCGGGAGGTGACACCCACCTGACGACCTCGGGCAGGTTGTGGTTGATGGACAGGATGCCGGTTTTCATGGGGGAGGACACGGGGATTTGCTTGATGATGACGTTGTCGGGTGTCTGGGGGGGAAGGGGGGGACACGGGCGGCTTGGGCACGGTGGCACCAGTGCTGGCAGCGTCCCCCCCGTGTCCCCCTGTCCCCTGTGGCACCCACCTTGACCTCCACGATGACTGTTTTGGACACTGGTTCCATGAGGTGGCCCACGGTGAAGAGGCGGCAGAGCACTGGGAGGGGACACGGGGGACAAGGTGAGATGGGGGGGGGGGACACTCAGGAATGGGGGTTGGAGATCCAGGAATGGGGGTTGGAGATCCAG